AATTATGTATTGAACAGGTATTATTGGACTCAAAAAGGGATCTGGGTTAAAAAGCAAATTATGACAAAATAAATTTATTATTAGTACGTGAAAATTCTGCAAATTCTTCCCAGTTCCGTTCAACAGAAAAATATTAAAAATACAAAATTTTGTTCTAGCTATTTGGTAAAATCCACTTGTTCATGAATCTACTAATCTAATCTTTTTCACATATTTGATCATTTTTTTAAAGTATAATAAGAACTTTTATAATATTATCTCCTTTCCAGATTTTCATCACTCACAAAACCATGAAATCTTGCCGAATCATATTTTGATTTCGCCAACATTTCTGACATAAAATTTATTTTCTGCCCCATTATTTATTATGTACACACATTCTTCTTTTATATTTTACAAGTTTCCAAATACTTTTATTGAATTTTTCTGTTAATCTCTTATTATTTTTCTTGATGAGAAAGTTTTTTTTCGCGTTTCAACAATAATTTAATTGAAAATGACTTAAAAGTGAAATTAAAAAATAAAAACCAATATAAAACAACTTACAAAACGAAAAAAAGAGCAATCAATGGAGAAAAGGACAATAGCAAACCTAAATCGAATAAAAATAAAAACACAATTGAATGTGATCTCTTTAAATGGGATGTAAGCCAATAAATGTAAGGAAAATATCTGTGAAAAACGATCCTTTAGTCGGTTGCTTTCCAATCAATATAATTTTGAATGAGTTGAGAAAATAAAAAACATAAAAGTATAACAAAAACATTCTAATAAAATATCAAAAGGACAAATAAAAAAAAAAAAATAAAATAAAAAAAAAAAGGGACTAGAAAAACTTTTTTTTTCTTGTTTCGCTTTTCTTTCCGCTTTGTCATAAAATTTATTATTGTATTCCCCTTATCATGTCTTGTAATTGGGTCATCTTGGTTACTAACGCTTTTTGAGTGGTTCCTATAGACATAATAAACCAATACTTTGAATAGAAAACAGGAAGAAAATGACCACTTGTTCTATTTTTTTTTTTCTTTGTTTCGTTTTTAAATGCTCATATTGTGTGTATTTATTTTATACGTTTTTTTTTTTAATTTTTCTGTAATTCTAACAATTTTCATACTCTCTGTGACATAATAACTTAAGCACATAAGGTGCTAAAGGAGATTAAGTGGGTATCAAGTAATTATTAGAGGGTTTTTTTTTTCTAAATTCGGGTTTTTATGCTTTTGAAGATCATATTACAAAATTGTAATTATAATTTATATATTCACATATTGTACATATTTGTAAATAATCTTTGCCATAAAATTGAGGCAGATAAAATTATTTTAAAGAAATCATTTATAAAAATGTTTGTGTGATTGTTACACAATCTTCTTTATTATTAAGTACTTCAGTTGTCGAATATTTTAGGAGATTCATTATTAAAATTTAATTTACGACAAAAATTAAATTATGTATGTAGGTCTTTTACAATATTCACAGAATTATTACTTAAATCTTAAGAAATTAAACATGCGCAAGAATTTCGATTTTGATATGAATATAGGATAATTATAGCTTAGATTTATTGCTTGGAAAAACCCAATCAATAACCACCCTTTAATATCCTTTTTTCTAAATACATGAATATCTTTTGAACTCGTTAGCTTTTACTCAGAAAAAAGCAAATTAAAATTATCTAAATTAAAAAAATCAAGAAAAGGAAGTAAAAGTATTATGTTGGTATGTTTATTTTCTTCCTTGTATTACTCGAGTTAAATTAGCCACATACATACATGGGAAACTCACTTATTTAAAATACGCTTGCATATGTGCTTTGCATAAATTCTCTTATGCTTCAATTTTTAGCACTTTTTCAAAAAAAAATTTTGAAAATAGATTCTTATTAGTTTCAATTTGTCTATCGTACGTCCGTCCGTAGACATGTTTACAAAACTTCTACGCCCTTGGAGATAGAAAGTACATAGATTTTTACTAGAAAATTATTTCCGTACAGAGAATTTTTCCCTAAACTATAGTTTATTATTGCAGTAAAACCAGAAACATATTTCAAATCCTGCAAACGTAGAAAAATAATGAGTGCCTTCCTCTACCACGGCATATCATATCTGAACTTTACAAAAACAAAATGACCGTTAAAATTTACTGTAATTTGAAATCGGTTTTTCTTAGAAACATCAGGTTGTAGGATTTTGAAATTTTAGTAGCTCTTAGATACTTTCTAAAATTTCTAAAATTTGAATTTTTGTCACTTTATGTTTACGAAACTGCAAGTTTTTCCAAATTTATATAAATGTCGCATGCTAACGGTAATTTCCATGCTGTATAGAAAGATTATCCTAAAAGTATGCAATCTTTTGAAATTTTTTCGTATGTAAGAAGTAATTGTAAAAATGCAGTACATATCTAGATGGTTTTTAAAAGCAGTATTTTCAGTTGTTGAAAAAGGTGCTACATTACAAACCATTGATTTGACCCAACTTTATTTTTTTTAATTTGAGATAAAGTTAGAAGAAAAAAAAACCTTTTCCTTTTCTTCTGATTGAATGTTAATTGGTAATTTTATGAATTATGGATTCTTTCAGGATTTTAGACAAAATATACGAGTATAGAATAAAAAATTTTTATTGTCTCATTTGCTTATTCATGTTCCCATCCAACATTTATACAGACACACCCATCATCTTCTTTCTTTAAGTCATAAAAAAGGCAAGAAAGAGAATGAAGTGAAAGAAAATAACCAAGAAAAAAAAATTTAAAAATGTAGGGAAACAATTAATGACTTGCGATTGCCTTTTCTCTCCCCCCTCCTTCCAATATTATATGTAGAAAAAAAACACTTTGGTTAGAAAATCACTTAAATAGTATACCACTTTACAGAATATTTTCCATACACATACACACATTTATATATACATAATGATTTATCTACATATTTAAGTGTATAATTTGCATATACGTAAGAAAAAGGAAATTGGGTTTTTATTTAAATTTAATTAGATGATTGAAAATTTTTTCTTAAGTTCTTATATTATATAAGTAGATATACGCATATAAGGATATTTTATACGATCTGAACTGAATATAGGCTATCAATTATTGATATAGGTAATATATTTAACAATTACAATGCGAATGGTAGCAAAAGTGAAGAAGGGAAGAGCGCAAGGAAAATGAATATTTTCGTAGAAAAATTTTCATTAATTTTGATTAATTACTTATAAAGCATTGATGTATTGGTATGTCACATTCAAATTTTGGTTTTCTATAATTTTTCTATTTCTGTATGTGCTTTTCTCTTATTTTTTGAAAAAATATGAGAGAAAATTTTTCTTTAATAACAATTTAATTAGAAATTTAATTAGTGAAGATTCTAAAATCTTAGCATACTTAAAAAAAAAATATTGGTTTGAGTTTTAATATTTTATTTAAAAAATGGTCATAAAAAATTACTTTAATATTAAATTTAAGAATAAAGAGAAAACAAAATGGAAAAAACTTTATTAAATTAAGAAAATTCAAAATTTTTTCAAAAGAAAATATTAAAAAAAAAACAAAAAGTTTAATTCCTTTAGGAATAAAAGTTTAATTATTTTAATAAAATGAAAAGAAGAGAAAACAAACCATCTATTTACTTTTAAAATAAATTAAGATAAATTATAAAAATTTTGATGGTGGAAATTTCTACTTAATTTAATAATTTAATTAAGAATGAATAAATTATTTGCTTTTTTTTTATTTATATTTTATTTTTCCATTATATTAAATAAAAACTTTTACTTGAAAATATTCAAAAATTTAATGATTTTTTTCTTTATGTAGAAATGTTTAAAGGCGAAACTGGCGAAACTATGAAATTTTCAATTTTGCTGCAGTGAAATTTTTGTAATTCGTTCCCAGCAATTTGTTCCCTAAATATAGGGAGTTATTTAGTATTTATTGCTTAATATTGTAAGATTCGACTGTGTTTGTGTATTCTTTTAATATGTATAAAACTTTGAGCATTATTTTATTTTTATACAAGTAATTAATCAATTAACATATTTGATTTTAAAATTATATTTAATTATTTTATAATTGCTAATTTACATTACAAAAAATTTTTTAAAATTTATTGAAATAATTTCAATATTAGTCGTGCAAAATCAGTGAAACTTTAAAATGAATTCATTAATTTATCGTCTACTTAATACTTCCAAAGCGCATTGATATTTCAATTCACTTTCAATGAACTGAATATTCTTTTTTTATTTTTACTGATATGATTTAAAATTTAAATTATTTGTAAATACATATACCATGTAACTTTCATACTAACTAGTAAACAGAAATTTAAATTTTATATCGTATGAGTATTACGATCTTATATCTTGGGTCTTACTTTTTCGATCACAATACGGACATAGCAGACGTAAATTTAAGGCATCTTAACCATTTAGTGAAGAGTTTATTTAAGCTGATTCGAATTAATGACGAAAAAGGAGAAGTCCGGTAGTACCACAGCGGGCGCCAGTGGCCTATATGTATCTTTCGGAGGGACTGTGTTAACCTGCCTACCAAACTACCTAGTATAGTATTTAAGTTTACAATAGGTACCATAACTACGTATAGTGTAGGTCTTCTTAATGAAAGCATTATTACAAGGCAAGGTTAGGGCCATGTTATTTTTATATAAAATATTTTTTTAACAAAAACCAATATTATTCAAAAAATTTCTGGTTAGTGCGTATTATTTTTAATTATTATTTAAGTGTTTTATTTAAAACTAACAAAGTGAAATGAATGAAATTTTTGAAGTATGAAGTAAAATATTTTTTTTTTTCATTCATATTGTAATTATAATGTTTTTCCTACATTTATATGAACGTATGTATATGGGTTATTATTTTTAATAAAATATGAAATGCCAAAAGAATTTAAACAATACTAATTAAGAATTATTAAAATTATTTTGTAGAGGCTTAAAAATAACATTGTTAAACAAAAATAATACAAAAACTTACCTTTTATAAATAATCCTAGTATAAATAAAAATCCTAAAAGTTGATGATTATTTGCCATTCTAATGATCATTATTCTGAAAAACTTTTATTTTTTTTTCTTTTATTTTCTTTGTTTTATTATTTTTTGTTTTTATCCTTTGTATGAATTATTTTTATTTATAATTTTTTTATATTTATTTTTATTAATTTTTAACATAAATATTATTTTTATTAATTCTATTACTTTAACTATAATTCATTTACATATACATGTATGTATGTATGTGTTTTGCATTTGTTTTTCTCATTCCTTTAAGTTTTTATTCGAGTAAATTAAGTTAAATCCACTCAACAATAATGTTTTTTTTTTTTTCAATTTTAATTTTTCTCATTTATTTTCACGTGTTTTTCTAATATTGTTTAATTAAAGTTGGCTCTCAGTGTTTATTCACAGTTTTTTTTTTATTAATGTACAAAAATGTGTTAAACCGGAAAGTTAACATTTGCCAAACAAGAATAAAGAAAAAAAACAACAAAAAAATACAACTAACTGCACTCTAAAATTATTGAAATAACATTATGAAAGAAAAAATTAAAAATACAGGGTGAATGCTTCTTGGATGATCGTTACAGGAGTGCTAAAAGTATAAAAAAAAAATTTATATAATAAAATTTTTAATTAACATTGTTAGCCATAATAATTTTTATATAAGTATGTATGGTGCACAATAATCATTATAAATATTTAAGTACCTATTACTATGTACTAAAGAGAGTTTTAACAATCTAACGGCAGAGTGATTTTCACATAATATGCGCTGTACAATGTACATGCAATACTTATTTCAATTTTTCATTTCATGATTCATGAAATTTAAAATAAGGAATATGAAAATTTTATTGTATCCAGCATAATGTATATAAGGTGTTTCAGATAACATGGCAAATAATTTAGAAATGATTCTTTTATCAATTTCTAGCAAAAATTGTTAGAGTAGAAGACGGGGTGGGCTCAAATATCCGAGCTGTCAAAAAAAAAGGTACCAGATTTTTCCTGCATATAAATAAATGCTTATAACTTAAGAACCATATGATGTAGAAGAACTATCAGTGGCTGGTTTTACAGACGATTGATTGCTCTTTATTTTCGATCTTACAATCAATTTGATTTGAGCCATAGTTTTCGAGTCAAAGCTCGCCAAATTCAGAATTTTTGATTTTTTTTTTAAATTTTTTTTTTTAAACTCGAAATTTTTAAAAAATTTTGGTATATAACGGTAACTCTATATCGCATGAAAAACATGTGACAATTTTTTCAATAAGATGTAATTCGTATATCTGCACTGAAAATGAAAATCTAAGCTCTCATTTATACGCACTAATTATATTTTATTATTGTTTATAATATTTTTCATACATTCGTATATGGTTATTAACTTTAATTTTTCTATAAAAAATATTCTCTATTTTAAGAACAATTTATTCTCAATTAAAACAAATTCAGGGTAGAAGAAAATTCGATCCACCTCTGTATTTCAACGTTCTTTTAATATTTTCCTTTTTTTGCATTTGTTTCATGTTTTAAATTTGATACTCAATTATACATATCGTGTTAATAAAGACACCAAAGTATTCTTAAATACTAAACTTTAATAATACAATTTAAAATAACCATATTATATAAGAATGAAGTACCAAATTCTAATTAATTACATTCTCTATAATATAAAAGGTTTTATTTCTCTTATGGTAAGAGTAAAATACAACACTCTCTATCCATTAAATGTTCACTATACAATTTTTCTCAGTTTAAAGGATCTAATATTTAAAGCAAACATAGTATAAAAATTTAATCTCATATATGAAACTAATATTTATTTATTTTTTTCTCTTTTTTTTTTTAAACATGATGTATATATACACATATTAGAGTAAAATACATGGTGTTATCCCTATTATCCTTTACATTATAGTATAAAACAAGATAAAAAAATTTTATTTCTCTTTTATTTTCTATTCTTTCGTTAACTAACTAATTAAGAAGTACGTTTTTACATAGAAATAATATTAAAATTCTATAGGAATGTTATAGAATTAGTAAAGGATGTAGGGGCAACACTCAAATGTTTAAATAGGAAACGAGAAACATTTTTTGTTTAAAAAACTATAAGATATACACTGTTAAAAATTTAAACATAAAATTTATACACTTTTATTATTTACACAAATCCATGTAATATAGTGTTGAATTTATAATTATAATATAATTTTTATATGAAGAGTATATCTAATTAAAGCTAAGCGTATAGGAATACCGTATATTCCGTATATTGGAATTTCTAAAAAAATTTTTCTTCCAACCGTTCTTTTCAATACTGGATAACATTTTTCTTACACAAATATTACACCAGTTTTCGTTGTGCGATACGATATCTTCTGATTAAAATGCCCGACATTCTATTAATGTTGGTATATTAAACTAGAAGCGTGTCATATTATATTTTCTATGAAGTATTATGAAGAGAGTGTTAACTCTATTTCATTATTATTTTCCTACCATAGCTGATAAATTTTGAGCGAAATCATTAATATGAATACTTTTTGAATTCTCAAGCAAAAATATCAATTGAAAATTACTATTATAACAGTAATAGTATACAAAAGTACTATTACAATAGTAAAGATTAAAATATAGTTGTAATGTGAAACATAATCAAAGAATGCAAGAAAATCGAAAATGAGAGAGACAAGGAAAAGTTTTTACAAGAATTTTATACAGAAATCAAAGCTACTTTTAAAATTTCTAATTGTATTCTTATTTTGCATAATAAATAAAGTTGGGTCAAACCAATGGTTTGTATTGTAGCACTTTTCCCTTCAACAAGTGAAAATTCGGCTTTTAAATACAGTCTATGTGTAGCTATCACACTATTAAAATTATTTTCATTCATATACAAAACTATTTCTAGGATTGCATATATTTAGGATGTCGCATATATGCAGTCTTTGAAATAAAGCAAAAATTAATATAAAGAGGGGTTAACATAATGCTCGATTTTAAGGGTTAATTGTGTGAGTTAAGAAAAATAATTATATTTTTTAATGTCATGGAATTTACCGTTAGCTTTTTGTGTTTATAGAAATTTGAAAAAGCTCCCGGTTTCGGAAATATAAGGTGTCAAAAATTCAAATTTTACGAATTTCAAGAGGTGATAACTTGAGAAGGGGTGGAGATGGAAAAAAATTTTCTTCTAACAAAATGAACTATTTATTAATATCTAAAAGCTCCTAAAATTTCAAACTTCTACAGTCTGGGGTCTAGAAGAAAAACGACATCAAAAATTTGGAAAAAAAGGACTTTAAATAACGGTAAATTTGAGAGGCCATTTTGTTTCTCTTAAGTTGAACTATAGTATACCGCGCAAGAGGAAGCAAGCCACTGCCTTTCTGCGTTTGCAAAATTTCAAAAATGCTTATGGTTTCATTGCAACAAATATTTAAAAAAGGCCATTTTTAGGGTTTTGGGGGGGTACAACTTCTAGAGGGGGGAAGATAGGTAAAAATTTTGTTCTACGGAAATAAGTTTCTAGTGAAGATCTATGTACGTATTAAATTTCAGCTTTCTATCTTCAAAGGTGTAGAAGTTTTGTAAACAGACACACGGACAGACGGACGGACGGACGGACGGACGGACGGACAGACGGACGGACGGACGGACAGAGTGAAACTAATAAGCACTTTTTTCAAAAAATTTTTTGGAAAAGTGCTAAAAATGAGATGATGGTTTACATACAAGCAAATATCATGAATTTGTGAAAAAACCACCTTTCATTTTGGTATTATTTAAAAATATTTTGCAATTAAGAGAAAAATCTTATTAAGTTCCTATTTTTTGTTATAATGCATGTATGGTAAAATTATAATTTTGCAAAAACAAACAAAAAGAAAGGAAGGTTTCTAATTCAACTATAGCAGTCAACTATACCAATATTTTCCAATCTTTTTGTCATAAACCCTCGTTAGATATTTAATATATTAGTATACCTACGCTATACGCATATATAACTCATATACACTCATACATACTTATATAGAATTTACATTTTGTTTTATTATTAATTTTATTTTTTTTTTTTTTAAAAACAATTTACTTTGTTATGTTCAATTTAATTATTATTTTATCCTTCTCTCATTTAATTTCCGCTCTTTTAATTTTTTTCCTTCAGACTCCGTTTTATCTTTTGTACTGCTTTTCCTTTATTGAAATTCAGTAGTTTAACATCTCTTATATGACGTACGTTTCTATGAATGTATGTATGTATGTTGTTAGCTTATTATGCCACTGATATTAATTTTTTTATTTTCGTTTTTGTCACTGATGCTGCTGTTGATGTTACTGCAATTATTATTGTTGCTTCTGTATTTATTTTTATTAATTATATATATTATATTTTTTACTTTAGTGCTTCTATTACTGTTCTCTCTACATAAAATAATATTAATGTACATAGTAATTGTAGTGATAGCAATTATAATACATATAGTATAATTTAAAAGGATTAGAGATCACAGATGTTTTTGTTTTGTTGTTTATATATTTTTTTTCTTTTTTGAAGTCCTTACATAATAAAATATTATGTTTGTGCAGTGTATATTATTTTATATTATTTTTTTAATAATTTTTTATTCATAATATATTTTTGTTTTTTTTTGCATAAAAGGACACCATAGTATCCTTTTTATATAATAACGTTAATTGTATTTTATAATATTAATTATTAATATTTAATTATAATATATGAGTTACTTTAAAGATTTTCCTTTTATATTAATATTACTCATGTAAATATTGTAAACGAATAAGTATCTGTGTAAATTATTATTATATAAAAAAAAATTTTTTTCTTTTCAGTTTGTTAGTTAAATTTATTTATTATTGTTTTTTTGTATATTAAAGTACTTTAAAAATGAAATAGAAGAAAATAATAACAAAACCTTAACTAATTTAATCTCGGTGGAAAATAACGGCAATATTTTAATTTATTTCATTTTATTTATTCTTTTTAATTTTTAGCTTTTCTTTCTTGTTATTTGTGTATATTAATTAGTAAAAATCCTTTGAACTTTTTGAACACATGCTCAAGGAGGAATGAAAAAAGAAATCTGAAAATAAATAAAAAGTAAATAATTATTTTATATTTAAAATGTTTTGGAAAAATATGTGAAAATAAATTTTTTGTTTTTCTTTTTCTATGCATGACAAGGGATTCGAGTACAAAAAATTTCCTATTTATTATTAAACGAATAATATATTTTTTTTGAAAATTTGAAATTGCTTTTATGATACCTATAAAGCAATTTTAATTTGCATGTAAATGTTGACTAGAAACTATAGTTAAAATTGTAGCAGTAAATATATTTATAAATAGTACATAGAACGAGCGATATTCAGTGTTTTATAATAAACATTTAATAATAAAATCTTTTGTGGAAAAGGGCAAAAATTCATAGCTTTAACTCAATTTGAAAATGTCGAAAAATCGTAAAAATACTCAGTTTTTTGTTAGCCTCAGCACTATGATAAGACTAAACGCTAAACGATTTCAATCCTTCAACTATTTTACATTGGTATACAAATTTAAGCATAATTTTCATGTTCTTTGAAATTATGCTTCAAAACGCATATATTAAATTCAAATTTCAAAATTTTACTTTTAATTCATCTGAAATTTTTCTCTGTATGAAAAATTCAAAGTTTTTACCTTTAATAATTCTATATTCAATGCCATTAAAGTAGCTGTACACGGGTTTATTTAAGAAATTTTTCAAATTTTTAAAAATATTTTAAAATAAACAAAACAAAAGAAAATCTTATAAAAATTTGTTCAGCCAACTTTTCCAAAATCTATGAAGAATAATTCAAAGGGTTAAAAATAAATATTAGAATAAAATTTTGAAAATGAATAGACAAATCACTAATAATAGAAATTTGTCAACAAAATTTTATTTTACATTTTACAATAAATTTCATTGTTCTGTCATTTCCGTAAAGAAATGAAATAGACTTGCATCTCATTCAATATTGTTTAAAATAATTTTTTTACAAAAATAATACATGACCCATTAAGACAGCTGCTGTCATTTTTATAAAAGAAAGCAGAGAAAATCATATTTCCCCTCCCCCATATTGATAAAAAAAAAAGATAATGACAGATTCTCTCAACAAAAAATAAACTTAAACATCTTATTTATACTCATATTTTGATTTTTTTTTTGTTCATTTCAAAATCCACCATCTTAAAATGAAAAAAGAAAAAAACCAAAAATCAAATTAAAAAACTGAACTCCCAGTGTTTATATTAAAATTGGTGCGAGAACACCTTTTAACTTGATCTTTTTTGAAGTGAATGTAAATAAAAAATAAATTACTTAAAACAAAATGGAAAATTTTGATCAACCAGAGAATACTGAGGATTCTCAAGGTAAAAATAGTTTAATACCTCGTAAAAATTTTCATTTTGCTGAGATTCTTATTGCTGAATTTAAGAATCGTTAATGAATTTTTAATGTTTTCGTGTCAAATTTCAAGTAAATGGTTAACTTCAATATTAACGACAAAAGTTTATGAAAACCCTTTCAATAATAAACTAACATACATGACTCCTGTATGTTCTGAAATCTTCCCGACAAAACAAGGATTGTAATGTATAATTTGATCAGACACAAGTAGCGAGTATTATATCAAAAGTATTATGGCGGAGTAGAGATGAAGCGAGAATGATGAGTCATTACTGTTCCGACGTGTGGTCTACTAAATTCCATGTTGAAAAAGAAGAAAATTTTGGGACTTTTTATTTACAAATTTAGATTAGCTTGCAACAACGTATGTGTGGGATACTTTGAATTTCATGAATCTAAGGTTTCTTACAAAACTGTGAATATTTTATAACTGTTCTATACTTAATGAAACACACTTTTCAAAAAATATTTATTGCATTCTGAACGAAAATCTCAATTCCGAAGTAAAAATTTTTAAAAGAAAAACAAAATATGTGTAAAAAGCAGCGAAAAGCTTCTATTTTTACACATTTTAAATGTTTACACCTGTTATCATTATTCACAAGAACAAAACAACAAATAAAATAGAAAAAAAAAAGACGGAAAATGAAATTATTATTGTTGTAATTGTAAAGCATAGCTTTTAGTAGGGAAGGAAAAAATAAATTCAAAAAATAAAATCTATTGCTGGAAAAAAAATGTTTTTCTTTTTTTCTTGTGCACCCGTTAGATAAAAAAATTAGCGCCCGGAAAATGTGCGTACATTTTGTATAAAATTTTACACCTTTGAAATTTTTTTACAATTTTTACTTTTTCTTTTTTTTTTTGCTTTTCATATACCTACCTAAATTTATTACTTCTAAAATATTTCCATGAAGGTCTGTTGCTAATTAAATAAAATATGTCTGGGATTTAATAGAAATAAGGAAAAAAATTTATGGAGAATTTAATTGGCAAAATGGAATTTTTTAATTAGAAAGAAAGACGTTTTTTTTAAACGTTGGAGAAAAAAAAATGTGTTTAATTATTTTTTAAAGTTTTTTGCCCCAAAAAAAGAAGTACTAGATATAATATTGCAAACGGATGGGATTACAATTTGTCACGTCGTGAGTATTCTATTTAAGATTGATTCATGACTGGTGCATGATTTAAAAAATTATTTTGTGCTCATAGCTCTCAGATTTAATGAAATTTCAAAGATTACATTTTATATTGCATTACATTTTCATTAAACTTAAAATTTCTATAATATTATGTAGAGTTTTTTATTCCGAAAAATTACATGATCAAATTTATCTTGGATTAAGGAAAATTCCGAAAATTTCTTTCGGACAAATAAAAATTAACTGTTCAAAATTACCCTAACATTAAATAGAAAGTCATCTGTTCTATCTCACTTCACAATTTTTAAAAGAAGAATTATATCTAAAATAATATTCAAGATAAAAAATGCTATCAGAAAAAACCTTATATTTGTGTACACATACAAATTTTGCCATAATATCTCTCGTAATAATTTTGTCATGAATTTGAACCAAAACTATATGTGCATACCTATAAACATATTTTTGATCACATAATATTTGTTAATTTCTTGAAAAGTCAAGCAATGACATAAAAAATAAGCACAAAATTTGTGGAATAGAACAAAAATCAATTAAAATACGAATAGCCTATACATTTAGTAAATATTGTGTATATAAAATCTTGCCAGTATTACTAAATGTTAAAAATTTTAATGACGTGCGGATATAAAACATTGACTCAATATAAAGCAAGATTTTTTGAAAAATTTTGTGATACACCTGACTCGAATACAACGCTAAAGTTTATCAAGAGCCATCCGATTAGATGAGTCACCCTGAGAGAATATAATGAGAAGACTGGAATAAAGCTGCTAAGAATCAATGCGAGGAAAGGTCTTTTTACCATTTCCTAAATTAAATTTAATATTCAGACTATCAAAAATTAATGAACACATTATTATCGATTATGTAGTATCCAATCACTTTCTCTTAATCACAACACATGTGTAAATCACGAGCAAAATGATAAGGTACTAAATTTTTATTTCAAAAACATTTACGGTTGGCATGCTTCTATAACCTTAATCATAAAGGAAAAAATCAGCAATTAGAATAGAGTGCAAATAAAATTTTTTGTTTACGCATTGATAATAAAAGTTAGTATCTAAAGGCAAAACACAAATAATAATGAATAAAACCAAGTCAATAGCAAAGAAAAAAAGAAAACAGAAAAAAAAATCCTTAATCATAATAGAAAATAGCGTTTCATCCAGAGCTATTCAAAATGAAATAACCAAAAATAATAACAATGAAAATAGAAACCAAATATGAAAAATTTCAATATTAAATAACATGATTCCATTTTTCTACTATTATCACTTTCTGAAACTAATAAAATACTGAATACACGCGTAATATATATACCTATACCTATATAAACCTATTTTGCCATACGCAAAATAATAATACATAATTCTATTCTAACCTCAAATTCCCTACGAAAAAATCTAAAATCAAACATTCTCGCACGTATTTTCCTGTCATTTACAAATATACGCAAGGTATTATATGTATGTATGTATATACTCGTACGTACATTAAATACGCACGTTGTATGTTTGCATATTAGTCCATTCTGCAAGAAAAGAAATTTCGATTCTCGTTTTTATATTGTATTATGTTTGTATGAAATAGCTAGTAGACTTCTTTTTTTGAAAAATTCAAATTCATCAGCATACATCTAATATTGTATTTTATGCTATGAAAATGGAAAACTGAAACAAAAACAATAATAACAAAAACACAAAATTTTTCCTCGTTGAAATTTTTTTCATTTGCTTTTCTTTATGAATATGGTTTGTTTACATTTGTGATGTTAATATGTGTATGTGTGTTCATACCAAATACAATATAAGAAAAACTATAAAAATAATAACAATAGCAACACAAAATAATCACTAAAATGAAAATTCTGACTGGAAGAATTCAGTTTCTGATTAAATGTTCAACAGTTATGCATGATTAGATTAAAAAATTTTGTTTTTGGCGTAAGGCATAGTGAAACAAAATAATTGTGAAACAAATAAAGAAAAAATAAGAAGAAAAAATAATTATAAATCGAAATTTTTCGTTTTATATTCTAATTTCGATTTTTCTTTCCGTTATTTTAAGGCAAATCATTCATAATTATTTATTAATTTTTATTATCATTATTATCATAATTATAATTATTGCGATTATGATTGAAAGGAATAAAATTTTCGGAAAACATTTGTTCTAGTTTCTTTTCTTTTTTTTACATTTAACCAATCAATATTAATTACTATAAATTCTAGTATATTATAGTGAAATTTTCAATTAAAAATTAAGATCTTCATCTTTATAAATTTATTATTGAATATTAAAATGAAATTAATGAATTATTCCAATAAAATGTTGAAATATTAAAAAAAAAAAAAGTGACAATTTATTGAAAATATCTAGCGTGATAAAATTTTAACACTAAAGAATAATAAGAAAAAAAAAGTAAAAACATAATAAAAATTGAAATTTAATAACATACTTAAATATAAAATAGTG